GTAAGGATGCCTGTGTTGTGTGTGTGTTGGTGTGCTATTTGGAGAGGAAGCATTTGATTACAAACAAACGTTACTGTCTCAATTAATAAACAATACATCGGTAAGCAGTTGTGCGTGTTTTTCTGCACAAGTCCTACACCTACATTCCACACAACCTGATCCCCATTTTTACAACATGCTAGCTGGCCTGACGGTTACCGTCGGTCGACTGTCCCAGACTGAAATACCTCAACCATTATCAATTGGTAATTTCTAGACAAATACTACCACAGTTCCCAGAGTGAAAAAATCAAGATCTTTGAATGATACACCCCCGACTTTAATCTTTAACACCACGAGCAGTGCAAAGTGTCCCATTATAGCAGTAAAATATCTCTACAATTGGGTAACACATGCTGAATCTGAATTTTGTGGTACTTACTCCATGACATATTTGAATAACTTTTTTGCCTGGATTTCCTGAGTGAAATGTCTTCCACAAAATCTAGGAACGGCATTACCTGTGGACTTTGGCTTTCCCTAATGTCAGCCCAATTGTCTAATTACTTCAATGTTGGCATGCTAACTGACCAATTATGGCAGATCTTAAGTTGAAACAAATTTATTCTGTCAAGGTCTGCGTGGAGTGCCTCAAAAAGAAAACCTTTGCAGAGAAACTCGCTAACATCCAGTGCTACCTAAAGGAGTCCTTGATGTTGTTTTGTTTTTTTCACATTCAGGTCACAGAATATTTTGTTGTAACCCAAACCACAGGGGCTCCTTTTCTCTCTTGCATGATGGCATGTTTGAAAGAACTACATAGAGATAATTACAGAGTACAGAAGGAGTAATGTATGCCTTGTTACTTTAAAACTTAGATATCATCTGTTGTCTCCTAATAGCCCAGTTCAGCAGCCAACTCACTGTCTTTGGAATGTTATTACACAGTACAGCATAATTTACGAATTTTTTGCGTCTAGGGCTCCGACCTTCATCAATCCCCACAGACATATGTTTACAGAGATATTTGGGGGAGTGATGCACAACACGGATCTACAGGTGGACTGCTGGGTGGTGCGGTGGGGGGCTTACAGAGCAAGCCAGGCAGCAATAGCTTTACAGAGCAGCAAACAGCAGCAATAGGATGCAGGGCGCAACACGCATTGACCCGAGCAGAGGAGAGAGCCTGGGAAATCTGAAGTTTAACATAGACCGCCAGATTTCGGGAGGGAGCGCTGGCGGTTAAGTGCATTATGGAATAACGCGCATGTCATGTGTCGTGAATCACGCGCAGCCTCCGAGCCCGCTCGAGTTGACCTGCCTGAACTAGCTTGCAGGCTTTGCTCCATTTCTTCTTTAGTGGCCTTACACACAGTTAGATTATTGTCTCCCTCAACAAAGCTACTGGTAGCCACTCCTAAAAAGAAAATTCCATTCCATATCTATTAATCAGAGTCAGAGTAAGTCTTCACAGTATTGCCGATGGGAAAAAAAACTAATGTGACAGATGTTGACCGTTGCGCAATGAATAACATGATCTGAGCTCTTCAGGTGATTATACACAATGAAAAAATAGTTATGCATATCATATTCCATTTCTGCCAATAGATTATCGTAAAATGTTACACACTGGACCTTTAATTTAGGCATTTAAAATGTTCCATACAGAAGTTGCCAATGGCATGAAGCTGTTTGAATTTCTTTTTGTCTTGCATGTGGGTCAGATTATAATACAGAATTGTGTGGTTTTATTTCCCATGCCCAAATAGTTAATGTCAGCCGCTCCACTCCAACAATTGTCTATCCTACAGTCAACACAACAGAGGAAGTGGAGCTTGGTAAGTGTGTCCAGATGTACTATGATATAATCCCACAGCTATCAGAAATAACGGATTTAGATGATTTTGAACTGCTTTTTCAGAGCCACATCAGCTAAGTGAATGGAACAAAGTGGTTGGCACTCAAAGGTCAAATTATTGTATACATCCCAGTCTTCACAAGTTCTGGTTTTGTTGAAAATCACTTGATGACAAGTGACAACAGTCGTTGTATGTATCTTCTAATGTTGACTGGTTCAAATTATTGACTTTAAAGTTTTAGTTAATTACATAAGTAAGGCATCACATGTTGTTCCCACTTTTATTTGGACATAAAGTGAGATTATAATGGCCATGTTTTTGTACTTGTTCTAGGACAGAGTCACACTCTGGAATGTGTGGTACATTCTCCTATTGAGTTAAAGGTTGTGGCAGTGGTGCAGTGGTACATGCATCATGGTGGCAACATGGAGAATATGACTCTACTACACATGAAAGAGCAACGGTGAGTCGCTAATTCAGTGTTTCGTTCGCCAGAAAGTAACTGTAACTGAAATTATTTTGCTTATTCAGAATGAAGAAGGTGACACATGCATTCTTGGAGGTCACCGGGAGAGTTGTGGTGACTCCACAACACTTGAACCACAGATATACTTGCATCGCCAGTAATAGTTTTGGGAAAACAAATGTCACTATCCAGCTCAAGAAGAAAATGAAAGGTACTTTTATTTTTATTGTCACTGTCATGTTGTTCTATTCATACTATATTTTGTCATAGAGTTGTTACATTAAAATTCAAATAATTCTATATAAACTATCAACATTAAGTGAGAATACAGTATAATATATAAGAAAATCGAGTAAAATCTAGAGGAAGGTCCCACCAGCTTTCCAGCCGGGTGTGTCCATCTGAAAGAGCAGATATATCACACATTTTACACCACAGTTGTAGCACACAAAGGTGGGATGGTGAATGCTGTCAATGGAGGCAAGCTGCTCTGACCCGGTGACTAAGGTGTGTGTGACTAAGTGACATGTGCCACTGTGCAGGCAATACTTAGTGTTCAAAGTTATGAACTTGCCAGAACCACTATGTATACTCCTGCGGTCGGAAAATGGGTGTAGTTTGACTCATTTTCACAATATTGCTCAAGCGGAAAAAACTCCCCACATTGAGGTCAAAGATAATGTAACCAATCCAGTTATCTCAATGGTGAGGCAACTTATATCTATAGCTATTTTCAAAACATCCATTTTCACGCAGTTATCTTCACTGACTGATAACAGTTTGAAACATTAGGTTGATTTTTGTGCAGGCAACATTTAAAGCCGCGCTAATCAATATTTTAATATTTACAATTGATCAAATTACGGTGACCATATTTTCAAACCCCCTAGCCCTAACCCTGGGAACAGGGTTTTTAGTCTTCTAAGCATGTAGGAGAAAATACGGTGGCTGCAAAACTTGCAAAAAACGTGAAAGGCCCACCCTAGAGCCAGTGTTTGGCTTGTCCATACTGGGCTATTGTAGAAACATGGCGGACTCTCTAAGGGGATGCACTCCATCTGTAGGTAAAAATGGCTCATACTGACGTACACCTAGTCATATTTTTAGGTATTTCATACAATAATGAGGACATACTTTTCAATATTGTATGCCATTTCTGCCGATAGATCCTCTTAAATGTTACACACTTGACCTTTAAGTGTACTGCATCAGCACGTGCACATGTATGTGCTTACGCAGGCACAATATGCATTTTCATCAGGACAAGCAGTCAGAAGCAGCAGAAGTTAGTCACCAGCTAGTGAAGAAAGTGGTGGAGGTGGAGGCCAAAACAGAGAAAAGAGGACAGTGAATACTGGGCTTACATTCATCAGGTGGACATGACTCTAAATAAAGCTGTTTGCTAACAATTTTGCCATATGAACTTGTGTGATACTAAGTGATTATTTGTTAGTTTTGTAGTTTTTGGCCACTCCCGAGTCAATTATTGCTGCTTTAAAGACACAATACAATCTAATGAGTGTATTTTGGACTGGATTTCAGTAATTTTGCCGTCGCTGGGTGGGCCCATTGTGTGTTTGCTGCTGGTAGCTGGGCTGGGAATCATTTTGCATATTAAATGGCTGGAAGTAAAGCTCATCTACAGATCCCACTTTCAACATGGAAAACACAATGGAGGTCAGAATGCAGACACATACACACACAATATACAGTAGAAACCCTAAAGCATCTTGACCGCAACAGCTGCTTCTCTTTGCAGGATGCGGCTGATGTATTTTGTATTTAATGCTACAAAGCATCACATTATTAAGCTAACTGAAATACATGACAATACCGTGAAACAGTGCATCCAGTGCACATACTTGAAGACATACAGTAGATGGCAATCTGTATTACTACAGCTGCATTCAAGAACCCAGATTTACATTTCTGATGTCTGATTCACAATTGTCTTCACATCCACCACCACCATCCAGATGAGAAAGAGTTTGATGTGTTTTTGTCATACGTGGGGAGCCTTCCATCAGCAGAGGTAGAGGGAGGTTTTACCATCTCCTCAAAGGAAGGTAGGCCAACATGTTCAGTGTTTGATATGCGTATCTGGATTTCATTTTCATATACTAGTAAAGTAAATGAAAAATTATTTTCACAAGCAGCATGTTTATCCAGTATGGACCTGCTGAACTCTGAGGAGGGTAAAGCCACCCAGAGACCAGAAGTGCAGCTACCCCAGGTGTTAGAGGACCAATGGGGGTATCGCCTCTGTTTGCTGGAGAGGGATGTACTCCCTGGAGGAGGTGAGGGGATCAACTGTATTTGTCTGTATGTTTGTTTGCTGGCCGCAAATGTTCCTCATGGTTTCCATTTTGTATTACAGCATATACAAATGATGTGGTCCTTGCAATACACAGAAGCCAAATGCTTATCTGTCTCCTGTCAGCTGACTACCTCTCCAACAATAATGCTGTGTTTGTACTGGAATCAGGAGTTCAGGTAGGCCTACATTTCACTGAGAGTAGAAGACCAATGCTGCATCAAGGCATATTAAAGTTACTGTGATTACGACTTTCTTGTAAAAAAAATTCTGAAAGCTCTGATACGTCTGACTTGGTGCTTCATAATATGGACCTGTCAGAAAAACAAAAAAATAAGGACATCCTTTAATGGATATTGTTTTATATTGTCAGTGCACAGTATTTTAATCCTCCCATCTCTCCCAGACATCCCATATGATGTGGACATAGCACAAGCAGTCCAGTCCTGTGGTGGCTGTTACTTTGCAATTAAAGTTGTTGTAATGGATGTAGAAAAAAAAAAAAAAAACACAATTTAGTAGACCAACCTGCTCAGGGTTTCCACAGTGTTCACCAAGTTAAATTTAAGACTTTTTAAAAGCACAGAGTGCAATACCACAGTCGTATTGGTGTACCAGTGGGGACAATGTGACCTAGATTTATTTATATCACAATTTGTCAGTACTTTCTAGCAGTGTATAATAACTAGAACATTTCTAAAGAAATTTTCAGCATGCCTGAATGCTTTGTGCGTATCCAGAGAGAGAGAAGATCTGGAGGAGTCATATTGTTAAAATGATGTGACTGTCAGCATCCCAAAGCTTTGCTGAACGTTTACATATATAATTTGTGTGACTAGATACACGCAGAAAAAACATATGGAGGAAGAAAAATCCTTAAAGCTTCCTAGCCCTTGGCAGGCAAGAGATATTCAAGACTAGGGATGTCATGATTTTAAAATATAAGCATACGGAGGTGGACAGAGCTTTTGTAACCATATAAAAGCATACAAAAAGAACAGTTACTCAGAGTGGGAAACACAAAAGAATAGTTGGATTATTTACATGATGTTATCCTATGTGTATTATTAACATGATTTAATATTCCATTGTTTAAATTATCATTAATACCAGTATATTGCAACACCCATATTCAAGACCCTTGTAAATTACATTTAAGACTTTTTAATATAATCTAAGTCTTTGTTTTCTTTTCTTTTTTCACTGAATGTTTTGTAAAGATTTTTCATCTGCAGATACCCTGCCTGCAGTTACTTAACTTCAGGGGCAACAATGGTAGAGGATTTTATGTCCAGCCCATTAAAAGTGTATTTCTGATCATTTTTCTACTTTCCAGCCAGTCACTGTTTTCCATTTATTTTTAGTAAATGGTAACTGTTTTCATTTCAAGAAACTATTGTCTTCTGGGTTTCACTTCCCAGCAACCAAATCCTGAATTCAATTCTTAAATAATTTTTTTTTTAAATTGCTGATGTAAACTGAAACCAAGAAGGTGTGTGGATGGTAGGAAAATCTAGAAATGGAGGTTGCATAAACCACAAGAAACACTGGTGTGATCTGATTTATTCAACTTCTAACTTCTGTTTGTTTTTGATGACAAATTCCTAAACCACTGTTTGTTATGATTCACACACAAAAGCACAGCTCATTAATTCTTTGCTACTTGGTCCTTATCTTTCGTAGGCTTTACTGCAAAACTCTACCCTCAAACTCCTGCTAATATGGACCAGTAGAGCCTCATCCCTCATCCAGCCGGACCCCCCTTTGCCCACACTGGTCCAGAGGGCCTTGAAGGTGTTACCCAGTATGGATTGGACCTCAGGAAAAACTGCAGGAGTCTCCAGCAACTTCTGGAGGTCTCTGCGGGAGGCCATGCCCAATCACAGAGTGTCTGATGTCAGTCATGCAGGACCATTAGACTGCCTTACAAAAACATCTGTGACTGAGTTCTCTGAGTTTGTGTGAGGTGAGGATCTGAGCACTTGTGCGCGAGCTGAATCGATAGGCACATTGCCAGGGTTGTCCCTACCGTTACACCCTCACCATGTGAAAATAAAGTCTGCAGTTGTTGTACAACCACAGAACTCTTGTTAAGCTAATACAAATTGTAAGGAATAAGCTAAAACATAAGCGGTCTGTAGGTTCCACAAGTCTTAAAAATCTTGTAAACTTTACTGGTGAGACAGTAGTGACTTTGTTGATGTAAACTTAACTGTTGTTGCTCTAGAAACAATATGATATAAATCAATTATAATCGTATTATGAATGTATTACTTATTATTTATTATTATTATTAATTTACCATTGTGGGAAAATAAAGCTTGTTTACTGAAAACATTTATTTGGTTTATTTGGATTATTCCTACCCTACATGCATATTTATTTATTTTTTTATTTATATTTTTTTAACTTTTATATTTATATTTAAGTGATGAACTACACCACTTGTGGTGGTTTTTAGTACTAGTACCACCATTTGAGAAACACTTGTTCCCTAACATGAACATATTTATTTTACAAAGCAGCTTGTACTATTGTATTACTTACTTCTACAAGTCTTGAATGAACAAATACAGTATGTCATAGGAATTTCCATTATGGTAGGGAAGCCAATTCATAATGTATCATTCTCAACTGTTGGAAAAAATGTGTCATCCTTTCTGTCATGCTCAGGATCCAGTGGCGGTGTGTACACCACCTTCAATTTCCATCTGTAGCAACTGTTTTAGTTGAACAGTTGAATAATTAATTACCTATCCACTCCACAAAAACATTAAAAAGAATATATAGAACAAATAAAGGATCTGTAGTAGTACATTGATAGAAGATAGACACAATTAACAATTAAACTTAAACAATTAGCTTTATGGCTGTTTGTACATCAGTTTAAGTAGAACAGTTGTGAGGCTTGTTGTGTATTCTGTTACAGCAGACATGTCAGCAATGAACATTTGACACGTCTGATCCAATTTTTTTATTTTTTTTTATTGACTGGCTTTTAAATATGTATGCAAGAGAATTCTGTTTGATAAATCAAACAGGTTGTAGCAGTGGATAGCAATGTCATTAATTTGGGGGAAGCCCCTTCACAAGAGTTGGGTAACCCACGGAGGAATTCAAAGTTTCTATTTTTGATCAAGATCTTCCAAAAAAAAAGCCACTGAGATACCACATTTATCTAAACCAAAAGGATGGGGGCTGTATTTCTGAGGCGTCATTTTTCTGTTGCAAAAGTGGCAATCAAAAGAGCTTGTAAATATTCCCAATAATCACTAACTTATATTTTAAGCATCCAGAAATAATGTATGACAGTTACCAGCATCCTGGTATCCATGTCAAGGCTGAGTCCTTCCATTTGTACATAAAAATAATCACAAATTTTGCCAGATTCAGTTAAGCAGACTGAAATTGAATGAAAATACTGGCACAAAGCTCAAACAATCATAGAACAAAACAGAAAAAACAAGCTAGATTGCCTATGAGGTGGCACAGCTGGTGAAACAAAGGGTTGTACATTGATGTTGAGAAAATGGGGAAAAAAACAAAACAATCTGTACGTCTAGTCTATCTCCCCCCACGCGCACGTTAACATAACTCAAACACACGCTCCAATTTGTGGATTTACAAATAAAACATTATCACGCTTCTATGTACAATTTTATACAAGTAATAGACAAACAACACCAAGCTTGCTCAGGACCACTTCACTTATTCAGATAGGAACAAGCATGTCACATAAGGGGCATGAGGGCTCTAAGATACTTGATTTTCTCATTAGCCAGCAGAAAGTAACTGTAGCAAATTTTACACAGTTGAAACAATATTCTGGCTAATTTATTTGTCCCATCTTCCCACTCTTCAGCTCTCATCACAGAGGCTTGACACTCTGGTACCTCTCCTCTCCTCTCCTCTCAGTTAGCATCAGCCGGTAGTGGTTGGAAACGTAAACATGAGTTCAGTCGTAGAGTATCATCGAAGGCTTAAAGCATTCTTAATGTCATGTCCACAAAGCTTAGCAGTTGTCAAACACAAGGGGACGCTAAAGAATAATTTGAGCCTTTGTAGATATCCGACGTTCTTTAAACTATACAAATTATTCATTAGTGACAAAAACTGTGGTAGTCATTTACAGTTTGTCTGCTTGGGCCTTTATCTTCCTCTCCCAAAGTTTTTGATGATCAGAAAAGCCCTGCTTGCCCTTGTTGAAGGAATTGGGTCCCGCAGATGTTGGTGTCTCCCTGAGAAGATAGAAAAATAGTCACATAAAACTCAAATAGAAACATGTTAGATGATTAGGTAACAATTACAGTACACAATGTATATGTGTGTACCTGCCAATGTTCTTCATCCTCATCTTTGCTTCTGGGGGCATCTCCTCAGGTTCACTCTGCGTGACAAGAGAAAGTCAAGGTTAGCCTTTACATATCTGTTGTTTATGGATTTGTACAACCATGACATTAGTGTGTGTGTGTGTGTGTGTGTGTGTGTGTGTGAGCCCTTACATCATCATCTTCGTTAAAAACAGATGCCAGTCCGAGCTTTTTTGGAGGAACTGAAGGTACAGGCTCTTTGGGTTTCTAGAACAGGTCATCACACATTTTCAATCTCTTCAGAAAATACAAAAAAAAAGCTGCAAATCCTCACATGAGATAAGTTTAACCAGCAAACACTGACACAGAAATCACTTCAATGATTCATGGATTAGTTCTATCAATCAACTCATAAATAACGAGTGTTGAGGATTTTAGCCTGTGTCCTTTTTAGGGCCTCTCTGAGCAGTTTTTATAAGAATGAAACCATTTACACTAGCAGCATCATATCCGTGCCCTAACTTTCAACATGTACACTAGAATACTAGATCACATCATGCTTTATTTACATTATGTCTGCATGCAGTTAACACCCATTGCTGCACACTCACTGTTGCTCCGAGTTTAATAGATATGGGGTTTGACTTCTTCCCCATCGGACTGCTCATGCTAAAGCCTATCTTGGAGACTTTGCAGGGCGCTGGTGGCTCAGTTGAGGACTCGTCCTCATCTTCAGCTGTGAGATGCTGGGATGTGCGTTTGACTGCTGTCCCTTCTCCTCCCACAGTGCTACAAGAGACAGGCTTAGTTTTCACTCTGTCTTCCTCCTCCTGCGGCCCTGCTTGAGGCAAGACAACTCACCAAGGTGAACAACAGTTTCCTGGGAACTTGAGAAAAATAAAAGCTATAACCTTTGCCTGTGTGGCTAACGTTATAGTACAGTACAGATAACTTAGATCCACGCCTACCATTTAACTTACAGTATTAAAAGCCCATCTGGGGACTGATTCTGAGCGAGGCTGACACCAGGTCAGCAAGAGATATATGTCTGGTGTGAGCAAGAGTTTGCTTTAATACCAGTGTAACTTTAGCAGTAACTCTAGCCTTTGCAACCAGCCCCATTTCCCATTACCAGCGTGAAAAGGAAACGTTAATACAATGTTATCTTCGTTTTAGCATTAGCAAGCAGACGATACGTAGAAAGCTGCCATTAAGAGAGCGTAAGTGAAGTTTTACGAACGTTTCCTCCGTCTAACATTAGTTGGGGCCAGTTTTAATGGACAGACAGCAAATTAATCTAACGCAAAATCATTTTTTCAACCACAGATCAGACTTTAAACCAGCACAAATATCACCTCCGTCGTCGGTGCTACCCTTTCTGTAATGCTCGTAATCCGCCATCATGTCTGCACTCAAACCTGCCAGCTCTTCTTCTTGAGTTGAAAATTGCGGCAGATTACACGCAACAAAGGCGTAAGGCTGCCCCCATCAGGTCATTTGCAGAACTCCATTAAATTGATAAAAAAAAAAAAAATTGCATGGAAATGTATTATACATAGTTTTTGTTATTTTTGTTTTATGGAAAATATGTTCAACGAGATATTAAAATATGGAGACGGTGGCCAAGGGTGGAAATTGTTGTGTATTTATTTCGTTTTAAGGACTATCTGGAGGTGGCGGTGTTGCCTCGCTGCCAACTGCCGTAAGAAGAGGAAGGAAAATAAGCACAAGAAGAAGACGGGAGAGGAAGAGGAGCTATGGCAGTAAGCTAATTTGGTAAACAAAAAGCTAGCTGGTAAGAATAAAGACGTAACGCCACCGATGTACAGCCTCAGTGTGTTATATCCAGGGGTTAAAATGACACAGCGACTGGTGCTAACGTTAAAAACTACGTGAACGTCGCAGTTTGGCCGTTGTAGCTATGGTTACGTTAGCTGCACGTTTGCTGCCTGTTTGTTTCCTGTCTTAACTTTTTATTTTCTCTGCAGCTTAGTCGGCAATTTGTGTTCAATAGTGAATGTTTTTTTTTTGTTTTTTTTTTTGCTAGTAAGTAACTTTGTATCTCAGCCTGTGTTTTCTCTGTTTGTCTTCCTCGAATAACTTTTTTTTTCCTGTTTCTCCTAGGCCTTTAAAAGCTTGGTGTTAAACAATGTACCAGTCAAGATGGGCCAGGCGCTGTGCATATGCTCCCGTGGCTCCATCACCATTGATAATAAAAAATACTACTTTGTACAGAAACTAGACGAAGGGTAAGGGGACACGTTGTTTGTTTTAACTCCACGTTGAGGTGAAGTCTGGTGATGTTTTTGTGTTTAATAGTAAAAATGAGTTGATCCTACACTTGTTATCTGTTGAGCCAAAAGCTTAAGGTTGACAGTGTGTTGCTTTGACCTTCATTGTCGTCTTAAAAGTTTTATAAACTTTTACGACTGAGCCTCACTGTTGCACTGTATTTTGATTCAATCGTATATAAACCATCACGCTGCGGTAAGCAAGACACAGAAAATGCATTGATTATTCCTCTTTCCACCTTAATTTCTGAAAAATGTGCTGTTTGAGGACATTATTTAGGCTTTATTTTGTTTTTTTTAAAGCTTGCCATCTTAAGAACAAATGGCCATGGGGCT